GGTGGATGGATGGATGGATTGATGGATGGTGGATGAGTGGATGGATGTTTGATGGATAGATGGATGGGTAGATGGATGGGTGGATGGGTAGATGGGTGGATGGGTGAATGCGTGGGTGGGTGGATGGATGGGTGAATGATGGATGGATGGACAGATGGATGAGAATAGGGTTAATAGGTGAGTTAATGGATGGACAGTCAGATGGACAGGGAGGCAGGTACATATAGAGAAGACTGCAAGAAAGACACTGATGGGAAGAAGTTCAGGCTGTGCTCTAAGCCAGCCTCTCCTGCTCCCGTCTCAGCCTCTTCCTGTCTTGCCTCTCCTCCCACAGCTCTTCCTGAACCCTATAACTATGGATGGGGCTGTTTTACTTATCCTGTCCATCAAGAGGAACCCCAAGTCTAAGATGGAAGAGCTTGACATTTCTGTAAGTGGTCCACCCTGGATGTGTTACTTTCTGGCAGGCTATGGCGGGAGTGCACGCAAGAGGGCGTGGTCATGTGATGAGAGGACAAGACAGAGACCAGGGAGGAGCCAGTCTTGCTCCTTTGTAACTGAAGTCCCAGAGAATTACATCAATCCCCCGCAGGGACCCCATCACCAGTGACTGCAGTGACCCTATCTCCTTGCGTTAGGCTCTACCCCTGAAAGATCCCACCATCTCTCACATCGCCACCTGGACACCAGGTTTCCAACAAATGACCCCTTGAGAAACAAACTGCAAACCATAGTGTGGCCTTGTTCTGGTTGATATATTGTGTCAACTTAGAGAGTTTAAAAGTTTAACTGGATAACTCAACAGTTCTACATCTTGAGATAAAAAAGACACGCCCGTACCCTTCTGAGATGCTGTTTATTGTGTCAATTTAAAAAGTTTAAAAAGTTAACTATATAACTCAACAGAGAGCCAAAATACTTACTTTATATTCATACTAAGCCCATACAAAAAAAGACATACAGAGGGTGTGGGTGTGGAGGACCACCCCCACCCACTCCCCAGGGCAGGTAGGCTACATTAAAAAAAAAAGTTAAAAAAGACTGGCTGCTGGTTCTTCAGGGGAGCTCTAGTCTTCACCTTCAGCTTGATCATCTCCTGACTTCTAATACAAACTGTTCGGCTTCTGCCTGAGACTCTTCAGCCTTCTGGTGTAGGCTCTCCGGCCTTCATCATAGATTCTTCAACATTCCGTCACAGACCCATGAACCTCCTGATACAAACTTACACAAACACTGCAGTGAGCCCCAGGCCTGGGGCTGGGCTCTTCAATCTCCAGCATGCAGACTTGTGCACGCTTCCTCATCCAACTCTGTGACTGACCATTATAAGCCAAACTCATAATTTCTTATACATTTATATATCCTGTGTTACATCTGTTTCTCTAGTAAACCCTAACTGATACAGGCCTTTTCCTGCTCTTTTCACAGGAGACATTTCCCCTATGTCCTATAAACCAGCTCTGAGGGCACTTCCAAAGAGGAGCTCCCTTTTGTTTGAGCTATGGCAGGATGGTTGGAAGAACAGATCCTCTCCCCAGGCACCCACCCTGAAGAACTACACCCATGTCCAAATGGACATTTCAGGGTGTGCCTGAGGATTGGCCTCTCAACTCTGTAGCTCTATCCTATCCATCAAATGCAGGCATTTAATCTTGCTGAGATCAGAGCTGAGTGGGCACCACGTGACAAGCCACTGGCACTCAACATACACACCTGGTCAAAATCATGTAGGAAACCCACAGACAAGTCCACAGGCTCCAAAGCATCAGAACTGTCCCAGTCAAGGCGCCTCCGTGCAGAACAAACCAGAGAAGATAAAGCTTCTGAACTTGGTGGCGGTGGGGTGGTCTGGTTGGGCAGGGATTTGACACAATGGCAGCATCCTCACCATGGGTCCATTTGTCCCTGCTGCAGAATGTGCTGGTAACCGAGCAGTTCACGAAAACCCTGGATGGGGTATACGCCGTCCATCCCCAGCTGAACGTGCTGTACGACACAGTGAAAAGCCTCTCTGGCAAGAAACAAGCTCTCTCCTTGCGGACAAAACCCATGAAACTGATCCAGGTGAGTGTGGCCTTCCTCTGCAGCCTCTGGCCCCAATTCAGCTCCCCAAAGCACCTGTGCAAACTTTCTTAACAAGGACTATTCCCTGAGGGTGTAGGACCCCTGGTAGTGCTTCTGCCTCCCCAGGAAGGAATTGCTGAGCTCTGGCCGAAGTGGATGGGCTTGGCCCAGGATGGAGTCTACCATGCAGGCCCTCGGTTTACTAATGTAAGCCCAGAGGCCAGTCACGGAGGCAGTCTGTGCTGCCGCCCTTGTACCTATAGAATGGGCATCACAGCAGTAGCCCCCCAGTAGAGCCGCTTGGAGGTTTAGTTACTTAATATGCATGAGGTGCTTAGAGCAATGTCTGGTGTGTATAAGCACCCAGTGAAGGCAGATTCTCTCTGATAAGGATGTCCATAAGGGTGCTATTTGGTGGCTTCAGCTAAGGAGAGACATTTGAGTCCTTTATTTCTAACCTGCACCTGGCTCCAGTCTTAGATTGTCTCTTGAAAGTCGCAGGAAGTAGATGTGAAAATGTAAAAGTCTGAGAACACTGGATCTGAGAAGGGCACTGCGCCTCCGAGGGCCGTGAGCAGAGCGACTCTAGTGTTTGTCGCCTGTGGTGGGAAAAGCGTCCCTGCTGACTGCTGTCTGGGAATAAGAGCAAGGCTGAGGCTGTGCACATGTAGCGGTGTGCCCCTGCCCTGACTGGTCTGCTCCGTGCCTCAGTTTCCAGAAAAAAGCTCCTGCATGGAAACTGTTGTTGCGTGAAGAGTCCCAGAAGGCTGAGGGGCATCGGGTGCGTCTGAGAGTGAGAGGACTTCATGTGCAAGCAGGGGAGCGCTGGTTTGCAAGGGGTGCAGGACACTCCAGGGAACAGGCAAGGCGTTGTTGGTGCAGGTGTGAAGTGAGGGCCCCACTCAGCTGGGAGTGGTGAATGTGGAACCAAAGTCACAGATGCCACTGGGTCTCCAGCACAACTTAGGGAAAAAAAAAAAAGCATAGAGAAAGAACCGTGGGGTAGAGCCCAAAGCAGACATGTGATGTAAAACATAGCTCGTGCCTTAGGGGTAACAGTCCGGTTGGAAAGGTAGGATCGGTTCGGCAATGACCAGCAGAAAATGTCACCTGATAATAAAGAAGTGAGGAAGGAAACACATGAAAATCCCAACCAGAGATCTAGCCGGGCATGGTGGCGCACGCCTGTAATCCCAGCACTCAGGAGGCTGAGGCAGGAGGATCATTGGGAGTTCAAGACCAGCCTGGGCTACAAAATGAGCTCAAGGCCAGCCTGAACTGCATAGCGAGACCCTGTCTCAAAAAGACAGAAAAAAAGGAGATCTGCACAGCACTGGGCAGGCAGAAAAGAGTGGCTTCCTGCAGAAGTGGGCGGAGGGCCTTTAGTAGCAGGAAGGATTCTGGAGGCCAGAGGGTAATGGTGTATCCTAGGAAGGGGTTGCTGCCAGCTAAGGGGCTGAGGTCCAGCTGTGTGGGGGGAGGGGGTGACCAGAGCTATATCTCCCTGAAAATACAGGGGGATCCCTGTGGTTCCGCCTTACAGAGAAACCAGGAAATCAGAACTGGAGAGGCTAGGCTGGCTGTGTTGCCCTCACGAGTTGGGGTTTGATCTGTTGGGTTAGGGAGCCAGCGAGGGAGTGAGAAAACCAAGGAGAACACCGAGGCCAGATGTGGAATAACTCACCTAAGAATGACAATGGAAGGGAAGGACAGATGTAAGAGAGTCACGAGGGCTGGGTGTGGTGATGCATAACTGTATTCTGAGAGGCTGAGGCAGGAGAATCAAAAGTTCAAATTCAGCCTGGGCAACTTAGCCACCTAGTGACACCCTGCCTTGAAGTAAAAAATAAAAACGGGCTGGGGATGGAGCTCAGTGCAAAGGCCCTCAGTTCAATCCCTAGTACCTCAAAAAAAAAAAAAAAAAAATAGTAAATGCCCTTGCTACATACTGTTAGCCTTGCCTTTTTTCACCGCAGCTCTGTGAGCTCCTTCAGGGCTGCGTGGTGTTTTGGATCATGTCAACGGCGCCCACCAGGTAACCAGCCCGGGCACATGTGCAGGTTCTCAGCTACTGACCCTCACTCCATGCCAGGGAGGTTAAGTGCTGAGATTGGCCGCAGAAGTGGTGGGAAGGCCCTTGGGTTAGTTTCCAGACGCAGCTCCAAAAATACTCCGGTTACCAAGATGATGCTGTAGCCACTGTGCGCCTCTCCCCGGTGCACATGCACCCTGCAGAGTGTACTTCTTTTCCTACCTTTAATAAGTGTAAAACTTTTGTCTTAGTTACTTTTCTCATGGCTGAGACAAAATACCTGACACCCAAAGTCAAAGGAAGAAAGGCTTAGCTGGCTCACAGTTTGTAGAGGTTTCAGATCACAGTTGGCTGGCTCAGAGGCTGGGTGGCATGGCAGAGGGGCATCGCAGAGGAGAAACAGTTCATGGCAGGCAGAAGGCAGCAGGACAGCAAGAACCTGGGAAGCATCTGCGGAAGGAGCACTGACAACCAATAACAGGGGTAAATGAAATTAACATACAGCTGATGGTTTTCTCAAAGGCTCCACTGAGAAAACCAAAACTGATTTCTGAAGCTGTAGATACTGAGATTCAGTTATGTGGAAAGACTAGAAATGTCTGGTATTGTTAGTGTATAATATTAACAATAATAATAATGATAATGATAATGATAATGGAACCAAAGATAGAAACTGCATTGCATTGAAGGGGCTATAAAAGAAATAGACTTTTTTAAAAGAAGTGCTCAGAGAAATGCTATTTGTAAAACATTTATTTGACGTTGTCAAGTAAAAGGTTAACAGGAAGGAGGGGAAGGGAAGTAACACGCAGCCCACTCGTGAAGTTTGGCAGATGTGTTCCTGTCTCTTTTATAACCTCCATGCTTTTACCCCAGCCATACTCTATCTATCTCGCAAAGCTCTAAAATGAAAAGGACATAGATGTATAACAGAGCAACTTATGCTGCTAAGGAGACTAACACCATTAAACCTGAAGTTGTTCCTTTACCCTGGCAAGGATGCAGTTGACATTTCATTAATAAAGAACAGAATTTTCTTAGGAAAAAAAAAAGAAAGATAGCCGCTGCTTCTGCTTGATCAGGAAGCCTTTCCACTGGAAACACACTCCCCCCCCCCCCACCCTGCTGAAGCCACCACAGCTGCCCGCACCTGCCTCTCTCCCAGCCAGACCCCTCTCACGCACACTGCTCACCCAGGTGCTGGTGGGCTGTCCCACTGAGATCCTACCCCGCGACAGTCTCCAGCCTGTGCCTTCAGGACAGTGTGCTGGGAAGGCCCGGAGTGGGCTGAGGGTCACCATGAGCCCTGCCACTGCAGCAAATAACAGTGTGCAGCACGAGGCTGAGAGGAATCCACTCTGGATGAGTTGGATGAGATGCCGGGGGCTCCAGGAGCTGCTGAAGACCAGCGGTGGATATGCAGACTTGGGGCCACCCTGGTAGGGTGAGAGACAGTGTCTCCAGAAGAGGGGGTGTGAGGAAGGCTGGCAGGGGACCAAGATGAACCCTGAGGGCTCCCTGAGGTGCAGGATGCTGAGGGATGGCCACCAATATGGCAGGACCTGGGCTGGGGGGCTTTGCACATGGGAAGGGAAGAGAAACAAAAACAAGGACCCAAAAGAATGTTCCTGACATTGAAAAAGTGTTCACAATGAGTTCAAGGCCAGCCTGGACCATAGAGTAAGTCTCTGTCTCAAAAAACAACACAACAAAAACAATAGTGCTCACAGTGTATTAGTGTAGTGCATTTTGTAAAGCAGTAGAAGCAGAAGAAAGATAATAGATGGATAACAGATAGATAGGTAGATAGATCGATAGATAGATAGATAGATAGATAGATAGAAAAATATACACCAAGATAGTAGGATTAGATTTATGGATTATTTTGTATTTTCTTCATTCTGTCAATCTAAAATTGCCTTCCAGTGTAATATCTTCAAAGGAAAACATTTTTTTAAGTACTGTGTATCGAACCCAGGGCCTTTGCACTGAGATACATCCCCAGTCCTTTTATGATGTTTTAGTTTGACACAGGATCCCACTAAGTTGCCACGTTGCCTGGGCTGGACTGGAACCTGTAGTCCCGCTGCCTCAGCTTTCCAGAGTGCTGGGATTACAAACATGCACCACAACTCCCACCTGAAATATTATTTTTAAAGTATTCTAACAAATTGCTCTCTGCATGTGCATTTGTGGGGCTCTGTGAGGATCCTGGGAGCTCCTTGTCTATCCAGCCTCACGTGACACGGCTGTGGTTTGGTCCTGTGGCCTCTGAGCTATTTCACAGGGCTGGTCTATGCTAGTCTTAGCAGAGGTCACGTCAAACAGAGTGAAGTGTAGATAGGGTCACCATCACGACCCCCGTGGCACCGGAACAGCATGGACTTCAGCTTGTTAAGCTGATGGGTCGATGACTGCACACAGCCGCTGCTCAGAGACGCAAACAGGAGCCCTGGCAGCCTGCAGTCTGGCCGAGCCCTTAAACAGCCACTAATGCTAACACTGAGAGACTGGAGCTACTGAGCTCTTCTCCCTTCCTCAGCCTCTGTGGCTGTGGGAGGCTGAGGGGCCCTGCGAAAGGGAGGGCTGGGAGGAGTGACAGCTGGGGTAAGGTGTGTCCTGCCTCTCGCAGAGCTATGTGGACCAGCACAAAATCCGAATTGTGGACTTCTTCAAGAGCTTGAACCCCACTGGCGCGATGGAGATGCCTGTGGGCGAGTTCCGGAGAGCTATGATACAGGTGTGCTGGGTCCTGGCAGCAGCAGGCTCTGAGTGTGTGCGTGTGTGTGTGTTGATGTCAGTTAATGTGTGTTATGTACCTATGCCAACTCCCCATGATTAACTTCATCATTATGTATAGCAAACATGTACTAATAAGAGAGAGAGAGAGAATGGAGGAAAAGGAAGAGGAGGAGAGGGAGAGGGAGGGGAGGGGGATGGAAGCGCGCAGGCATTCATTTCACTGAGCTTCCCAGGACTGGCTGTGGACACTCGCCTTTTTAATCTTGATCCAGAGGAAACCTCAAGCCCTCCCTCAGCCCCTGCCCAAGTCCTTCCCTGTGTTGTGTGCCCTAGCACCACCACTGATGGCCCAAAGTACCACATGTAGCTCTTTCTCTCACCCTGAAGCTCTCTCTCTCCCCATGGTATTTGGCTACCAAGAAGTGGAGAACAAGAGTGACAGGAGTGACCCAAGGGGCCCAGGAGCCCCACCTTTGGCCGTGGTCCCATCCTGCCTGAAATCCCACATGACCCTCCCCTCCCCCATACCACAAAGGTGCTGAAGGCCCCCTGAAGTGCACGCATGAAGGTCCATCGTTAGAGCATCCTAGGAGGGGACATTCTGGGTTCTGGGTGGCCCAGGCAGGGATGGATAAGCCACTCAGTGCCCAGAGCCATGATCAAGAGGGCCTGGCCAGGACTCAGAGCTGGCAGCAAGAATGATCTTCTGTGCTGCAAAAGAGAGGTCCTGTCCACCTCAGGGCCCACCAGACTCTGATCTCCTCCAGCCCCGCTGCTCCCCAGAAAGGGGAGTCCTCCGGAGTCCAGCAGGGACTCACGGACAGAGGCTTCCTGCAGCCTCTCAGCATGGTGGGTTCATTCTGCTCTGAGCGCTCAGTTGCTACCCATGGTCCTGAGAGGAGAGAGGTGTTACAGGCATCGCTGGAGATGCGGTGAGCAGAGAGCTCTGTAACATTCTCATTCATGCCCTCAGCAAAACAAGGTCCCTCTGAACCGGAACCAAGTTGGAGAGCTGATCAAGAAGCTGGAGGAGCCCAAGGGCATGGTGAACTTCAGGTGAGCCCAGGCCCAGACCCTTCCCCCACTCCCCAAGGGGCCCTGGCGGGGCATGAGTTCCTGGGGCCACCAGGCTGTGTTCCGTGAGGGACAGCCTGCCCACTCTGCAGTGGCCTCGTCCTGTTCACCTTCCTTCTCATCTGCAGCTCCCTTCTGTAGCGAAGCTTGAGCCTTGGTCGTGCCTGGGAGCTGGGCCAGATGCTTCCACCCGTGGGAGAGGGACGAGGTGCACCGGCTCAGGCCCTGCCCAGGTGAGAAGAGTAACTGGGGCGCGTGCCAGGTGCCCAGTCAGGGGTGCTGATTTTCAGCTGGCGCTGGCCGTACCAATCAACACAGCCAAGAGGGCGGAGACAGACAGAAAGTGCTGCCGCAGAGCCCTGGGTCCTGGAGGCGCCCAGGTCCCCCCAGGTGCCGAGTCCAGTGAACACTCAGGTGTGCAGACAGGGTCAGGTGGCCGCGAGGCAAAACTGGGGTCTGGGTTCCAGAGTTCCAGGTAGGGGCTCTCAGGGCCACCTCCAATTGCACCTCAGAATGCGCAAAGGCTTCATCAATTCTGTTGGCAAAATAGAGTTGCGGGTTTATTGCCACATGAATCTTTTCCCTCTTTTGTTACAAAAATCTATCTCCTTAGGAAGGTCTAAATTCATGCACATATAGCAAAAAGAAAGCGAAGGTCCTCTTAGGTCTCCCCCCCAGTTCGCTCTGCCTCCACAGCGGGCTCCTGGAACAAGTCCGTGGAGGCATTTTCATGTACTCATAACCACAGGCTTGTGTGTGTGTGTGTGTGCATGTGTGCACACGCACGCACCCATGCATGAGTGTGAATGCAAGAAAGAGAATAGTTAGAAGTATGGGCTCTAGGGCCAGACTGCCCGAGTTCTAATCCTGGCTCCACTCCTGTGCAACCTGGGGCAAGTCAGTCTCTGTGCCTCATCTCCTCATCTGTATTATGGGGCCAGTGATGGTAACCAAGTGCAGGAGTTTCTGAGGGTCAGATGAGTTACTGCCTGTGAGGCATTTGGAACAATGCTTCGCACACGGTAAGTAGACTCGGCCCACGCACATGTTCTTATTTCAAATTGCTTTACACATGGATACAGGCAGTTTTTAATCATAAATAGAACCAGACCTCTGACCTTGCTTTGCCTTACCAGCACATCTTGGTAACCTTTTCGTGTACATCCATCTCCGTTTTTTAACTGCCGCTTAGTAAAGCTGCCCCATAATTTATCTCATTTTCACGGCCGTTGGAGCCAATATTCTGCTGCTATGAGTAGCAGCCCCACACAGCCCCGCGTGCAGTGTTTGCTCACATGAGCTCCTTAAAACAGGTCCGTGGGGTGCACCCAGCACGGCTCGGTCAGAGTGTGCCCATTCTCAAATGGAAATCTCCGACCCTAGGCCAGTCGTGTAAATCAGTGCTGCAGCCCCCGGCCGACGCTGACCTTCACCTACATTCAACGTTCTGCCAAGCTGAGGGTCGTCTAAATGGTCCCATTTGAACTTGAGCCGCCTAACACCCGTCCACCCCGTGAGCCAAGAGGCTGCGTGGGCCTCGTCGCGCCTTTCAGCCGGTTCCTTCCGAGCGCGGAAGTCATAGCAACAAGCGCAGTCTGGAAAGAAGTCCCTGAGAGGCAGGAGCGCCGGCGAGGCTGGCGGTGGCGCAGGACACTGAGTGGACGCCAACGCCAGGGCTGGGCACGAGCGAATAAAGTCCGGCTTGGTTCAGGGCATCTTGGGGCTGCTGGTGGCCTGCGGGCGGGGGCGGGGCGGTGGGGCGGGCGGTGCACGGGCCTCCTGCTTTAAGGACTGCTGGCAGGCAAGTTCTGGGCAGCCTCTTGAAGAGCCACACAGACAAACTGGGTATGCAGTGGGCTTGCTGGGCAGAAAGAAAAGAGCCACCAGGAAGAGGTCAGAGCACAAAAGCAGTTGTTTCAGGGTGGCAGGTAGGGGCAGAAGACAGAGGCTGAGGAAATGAGGGTGGGACCTTTAGAAGCAAATCCCAAGAGATCACATGCAGGGAGCCCAGGGCAGGTCAAGAGACCCGGCACCTAGTTGTGGCCCAGAACCACCTGATATGTGAGCCTCAGTGATTCCACCTGAGAAATGGGAACAATGAAATGAAGACTTCCTGATCCATCCCACAACTCTCCCCTTCCCCCTCCTCCCTTTCCTTCTCCCTCCTCCCCTCCCTTTTCTTTTTCTTTCTTTCTTTCTTTCTTTCTTTCTTTCTTTCTTTCTTTCTTTCTTTCTTTCTTTCTTTCTTTTCTTTTTCACAGCACCAGAGATGGAACCCAGAACCTGACATGCTAGGCAAACACTGTACCACTGAATCACACTCCCAGTCCTGTATTTAAGGTACATCCCCATCCTACTGTATATTTTGAAACTAGGTCTTGCTATGTACCCCAGGCTGGCTCGAACTTGCCATCCTCCTGCCTCAGCCTACCAGTAGCTGGGAAGAATGGCTGCTCACCAACAAGGGCAGGCACTGGACCAGTGGCAGAGGGTTTCCCTGACAGGCAAGCGCTGCCAGAGGCTCAGCCTGAGCATATCCCTCCGGATGAGTTTCCTCAACCAGGTGGTAAAACAGGGACTCAGAATCAAAACTAGGATGAGGAAGCAACAGGAAATTTATGGGCTGAAACGACCAGACACGCTCAGTGCTCTGTGCACACACCCGCCCTGTCTGCCTTTCAGGTCCTGGGTCGCACCTTTCGAATCTGTCATAATCCCTGAGATTCTCTATGTTCTCGGCCTCTAACCAAGCATTCAAACACTGTTGGGGTCTGGGCGGGGCCCTAAAGATTATGGGCGCCACAAGGAGCGGCCATGCAGCATCCAGATGTGCGATGAACAGACGGCAAGCCTGCAATGGTCACTGATCAATAAAACCAGTATTTTCCCAAAATACTTCTCATCTTTACATGACACTAAAAAGACAGCAATTATTCTTCCTTATTTTTGTTTGAGTGAATTTGGAGAATGACCGGAATCATGACGGGCTAAATCTTACCCCCCACACAGACCCCCGGCCCTGCAGGCCACCCCTGACACGGGGGCCCCTCCCCCGCGTAAGTGAGGGAGGGATGGCCAAGCCCCAAACCTGCCCAAGCCTGAAGTTATTCCTCCTGTGGCCGCTAGGTGTCAGGTCAGCTCCAAAAGTGCCGGCGAGGGCTGCACTTTGAGGAGTTCCCTGAATTTGAAGTCGACCGGGCACCACTTCTGCCCCCACCACCTCAGCTTCTGCCCCAGGGCCCCAACCTGACCTCGGGGCCCCAAAGGCCCAGCAGCTGACACCTGGACAGACCACGCCAAGGCCTGTGTTCGCGCTGCTCCCATCAGGATTCAGCATTACTTAGGGCTACCTTGCACCCTTGCTATGAGAAGGAAAATGAGGCGCCCGGGCAGAGCTCCGTAGACGGGCAGTGCTCCCCAGACAGCGCCCGCTCCACACCCCGCTCCGCGGTCTTGATGCGGCGGGAGTGTGTTCCCCGGGGACTCCGGCAGCGACGGCTGTTTACAGCTGGGGAGATGGCGGCCCGGAGAAGTCAAGCTCCTGCCCAAGGTCCCCCAGCTGGTGACGGGCAGCGGCGAGAAGCAGGCCCTGGTGGTGAGGCTCCGGCTCCCCCGGGTCTCAACCACCGTGCTTCCGGCCCCTCTGCGGCGAACGGGGCGGCATTAGATGCACTTTTTGCGCTGGCTCCCTTTCTGCTCCTCCAGGGCGCGCGGGTCAGGGAGGCAGCTGCACCTCCTGTGTCTGCTTGGGGCGCAGCTGCGGTGACCTCGGGCCCCAGGCCCCCCTGGCGATTCGTTTTGTTTCCCTTAAACAAAAGAAAGCAGTGACTGGCGGGGCCTGCCTGTGCCCTGAACGCCGGGGGGCCTCAAGGAACAGTTCTCTTTCAGGAAACAGACATCCCGGAGGGGAGGGCAGGGCAGGGCAGGGGAGGGCAGGGGAGGGGGCCCTGGCAGCTGGTCAAAGCTGCTCCAGCCCAGGGGTGCCTCCCTTCTGGAAGGACCCCGGGGGTGACCCTCAGAGGCCGTGTGTTGCTTTGTCCCTGCCCTGGGGAGTCCCGGGGGGGCTGCAGCGGAGTGACCAGCGGGCTGCCGTGGCTCCCAGGGTGCCGGGACACACCCTCGTGCTTGTGCGGCTGTGCGGAGGGACAGTAAGGAAGAGGACGGGCCGGGGCTGGGAACGCAGCGCGGGCCAGAGCCTTGCCTCGGGTGCCCGCGAACTGGCTTCCGTCCCCAGCAACGCCAAAACACAAAAACCTGGTCCTTTTCTCGGTGCTTGCCACGGGGCTTCGAAAGCCCTGGGAATTGCCTGAGTAACCTGTCTTTGTTATGCTAATGAGCTGGCTCGGGCACTGCGGGACAGCTTGCGCAGGACGACTGGTGACCCGAGAGCCCCTCCCCACCGGAGGTCGGGGTTTCGGACCTCAGACCTCCGGGCAGGAGGAAAGGACGGGCCGCGCTCAGTCACTGCCACCTGATAAGGCTAATGGGTCACAGCGCGATGGCTGATTCCAGACAGCCGGGCCCTGCGGAGCCGCGCTCCCCCACCGCGTCTCGCTCAGCGTGAGTCTTCACTGGGTCGTCTCTGGGTTCGTCCTGAGAATGCGGCCGTGAGGTGAAGAACAGTGCGGCCAGTGGGGGTGTTCCCGTGTTAGGGGAGACCCGCAGTCCCACCCGGGACGCCACCCGGAGAGACTCGGTGGGGAAGGCAGAACAATACAGCTACACCGGGAAGACGAGGGGGCCTGTTCCCGTAGCCCTGTCTTTGGTGGCCTTGATAGGAGATTCGGGTTTAAACGGGAAGAATTGAGACCGGCGGAGAGGCAAGCGTAACTGAGCAGCCCCGGTCGCACTGCGATCTGGCCGATCGTTGTCTCGGTTCTCGCTCAGCCAGCTTGGAGAGGTCGAGGCTTGAGTGCACAATTCGTTCCCCAGAGAAACTGCTCCTGCTCGGGGGTGATGCACCATGGTGATCTGCCTGAGGCTCGGCTATTCTCAGGACCCAGGGTGACTGCAGGTTCAGGGCAGTAGCTGGAGACTTCTGGGCACGCCCTGGGAGGTAGTTACAGCACAGGACATGGTAAAAGCTTGCAGTTGTTTCTGAGAGTGGTGGCCCATGCCTATAATCCCACAACTCAGGAGGCTGAGGCAAGAGGATCACACGTTTGAGAAGAGCCTAGGCAACTTAGTGAGAACCCGGCTGAAAATCTTAAAAATACCTGAACTACTCTTAGCTTGGACAAGAAAGGTTAGGTACATTTAGAGCTAACTAACCCATATTATCTGTTTTTAATCATATTCTCCGGTGATTAGAATGTCCATATGCAGAGCTGAGGGGAATCTAATAAAGTTTAATGAAATAAAAGAAACAGTTGGAAAATGAAGGCAGAGATGCCAACCTTTACCTGCCTGTAGTTACCCGTGAGGCATCCAGAGACAGGGTGCAGAGTCTTAGTAAAAGCGGCCTCTAAGTCCCTATTTATTACAAGCTCTGGGTTTATTTTAGTAGATCACCTAGAAGGAAGAGGTAACGGGAACTCCCAAGGTTGTAGCTGGCCAGTCAGAAGCGCAGGCATTTGGGGACCCCAGTTGCAGCTGGCATCTGAAGCAGGGACAATCCAGTGGGGGGACTGAGTCCACAGCAGCGGAGTCCAATATTGAGTCTGGGGTGCGTAATGTCAGAATTGAATTGGAGTACATCCAGTTGGCCATACCCCATCTTGGGGGGCAATAGAACGCTGGTACACAAGAGCGTGCTCACGTTTGAATTTTAGAGACGACATGGTGTGAGCTCGTCTGCGTCCATTCCCCAAGAGAGGGGCTTGTCTGATTCCTAAGCTCCATACCATCCCGCAAGGATGCGCCACTCCCGACTGTGCTTCTTTTTTCCCAGCAGAGGGCGCTCCAGCCTCACAGGTTGTCCACCTCTACGTGGCTGCTCGGCTTTCAGAGGACTGGTGGAGAAGCCCAGAAAAGCAAACGGAAAGCAGACTGGCTCAGCGAAATCAAATTCCCAACAAATGCCCCCAAAAGGCAGCCATGCATCTTACTTCAGCAACACAGGTGACAGTGGGGAGCCTGGGTTAGAACCCTCAACTTGCCTGAGGAGCAGGCTCACCGTCCGGGTTCTGTGGGGACTGTGTGGGATTTAGGAACATTCATTCATTCATTTTTCATTTTTTGAGACTGAGTCTTGCTATGTAGTATGGGCTGGTCTTGAACTCACTGTGTTACCCAAGCAATCCTCCTGCCTCAGCCTCCTAAGTGCTGGAATTACAGGTGTGCCCCACAGTGACCAGCTGATACATTTTTTTTTAAACTACCAATGCTATATGCATAGCCATAAATCCCCTGGGAAGGGGCCTCAGCTGCCAGGGGCCCTGAAGCCCAAGTGTGGTGACTTCTCGGGGTCTGGCTCTGCCTGGCCTCCCCCTCACATGTGCTCTGCCTCAGGAGGAAAGAAGACTTTGGCTCCGGAGGTCCTGGGGCTCAGAGCCCTTGTCTGGTTCTCGCCAGCCACTGTCCTCAACACCATCCTTGGAGGCGACCAAGACTAGTAGTGCGCGATGCCGCCCTTCCCGCCCTGTCACACCTGGGAGGCTGCAACACCACACCCGCGGCTCCGAAGGGCAGCAGGGGCAGTTCTCGCCCCCCCCCACACACACCACTCACTGCTGTGTCAAGATTATGAAACCCACAGCCCTCACAACGCCCTTCC